GTGTCAATGGATGTGCAGTAAGTAAAACAAAGGGATGTTTTGCAGGTTAAAACAACCATAAAATGCAACGTTGCTCTATAAACATTTTATTTAGGTAGCTTACATAAAATATTTATATAATTCAACTAAAAACTAACATGGACACTGCATCATTAAACGCTTAGTGGATGTACCATTAAAATAACCACTTACTAAATGTGGTTACTGGGAACTCACCTTTTTGCCCATGTTCAACTGCAGTATGGTTAACTCAGTATTGTGCCCCACGCTGAGGTTGAGGTTACATTTATGATGCTTCTTCACCGCAGTTGGGCTAAACCAACTTACACTTAAACAGGTCTTTTTAATGTGGATACAATTCATTACATTTTATTTGGTTTGTTCTGCGTACTTGATAATCTTCTCCCAACTTGCACACGTTGCTCATGCAAATTGTGGTAAACTTGCGTAATTTTATTGCGTTGTATTTTTTAAATAATTCAAACTTTTTGTACTTATCACGGATTCACTTATAACCTGTTTTTTCCATATGCGCATTTAGCTGGTATTTATATCGTCATATGCATTTACTTTATTCGATATCGGCATTCTGAGTGATTGGCTGTTGTTTGACATCCTAGGTGTGACTGCGCTTGATGTGCATGTTGACGAGGTGCCCACCTGTCTATTACCCACTACCTCGTCCATACTGGTCCCAGGAGACAGTTGGTCGTTGCTGGAGAGGACGGGGTGCACGGTCCTTGTGGTCGTGCTAGGCTCGAAGAGTGGTTCCATACACCCAGTGTGGAGCGGACTACGGTCCAGCCACCGCATTGTGTGCGCTTGATTCCCCAAATACAGCGTGCTTGTGTTTGCATGTGAAGGAGTGTGGGCCGGCTCCGTTGATGAAACGTGGCTCCCATCCACATGCCTCCCGGTCTTATTCCTTCGGGTTTACACTGGATATGGGGTGTGTGGATGGAGCTGTGGGTGGTGCAGCGCAAGCCATCTATGGTCCCTCTGTAGGCGCAGGCGTCCTGTGGCTGGCCACAGTGACAAGTAAATCCGAAACCGGTTGCCGCCAATCCTTTTGAACTTTGACAAAAGCAGGAATATTTCGAAGGTACACAGAGTCCCTCTTTTTTGCATCTACTTTTCTTACCTGAATATAAACGAAACAATCTAGCTGTTTTTCTTTTCTCCACTTCAGACTTATGTGGAGCTCATGCTTGACTTTTACTTTTTAATTTTTAAGCTTCCGCTGCAATACATAAGAAAAATAAAATGTATGTATTTTTTAATTTATTTCTCGTCTATGGTAGCACCATAATGCATTACTATATATATATATATATTTATATATTGCTGACATGGAATATGCATGCACACAAATTTCTGCATGCTCTGCTTTCCCACAGATAAAAGTCAGGCAAAATTTACGACCATCTTGCATGCAACAATGGACAGAATAGAATGCAGCGAGAAGCCCATCAGCGTGTCCGACATACATGACACGGACATTGAACTCGATAGCATGGGCTTCTTATCATCACATACTCCGTTTTCTGGTATTGTAAAAGATCTCGCACAGCCTGACACTGACAAGGTGCCCAAGCCCAGGTTGTCAAATCCAGGTTGTTTGACAACTGTTTCTCCTCGGCTCCTTTAAAAGCACCAAGGTATAGCAAAGAATCAATGCCCAGGCATACCAAAACGGCCAAGATAACACTCCGCGTTTATCATACAGAACATGCTCTCAGCCTACTCGTTTTCGGCCGAAGTCCAGTACAGCGAGAGCCAAGGTTGATCAGCCGCTTTGTAAGCATTACCTCCTCGTAACCCCTAGCTCAACAAGGAGTAAGTAGACTACACGAAACCCCCATACACTGCAGGCCAACCTGCAACGCCACTTTGGCAAAACCTAAAGCGATAGTTTGGCCGAATTAAGCACGAGAATACAGGCAAGACAAATTGTCCGAACACAAGTTGGCCTCCACCCCCTCGTTACGAAGCATAGTTAATTAAATCGGCAGTTAGGCCTAAGCAACCGCAACTTAAGTATTACCACTCAGAAACCCAAGCTCCGCAATGCGTAACCAGACCCCGCATACACTGCGCTACACTACCGGTCGAACTGTAATGCTATACGGGTAAAGCCCAATTAGATATGTCGTCCAGACCAATTATAAAAGTACAGCCAACACCATGCATCCGGACAAACTTAGTCTTTCACCCCCTCGGTACGATGCAAATTCTCTTACAGCGACGACCAAGATTGAACAGCCACAACATAAGAACTACCTACTCAAAACTCCAAGCCCCGCCTTGCGCATCCAGACCATGCGCACAACTCGAAACACTGCGGACCGAACAGCAACACCATCAGGGCAAAGCCCACCTGGGCACAAGGAACTGATGAACTAACCACATGCCGCGTTCCCAATCCACTCAGCCAACCACGCCAGTCAACACACCGTCAGCAACACACCATAGTGCCGCAAATCATGACGACACCTTCCGTGGTCTCTTTTCATGAAACGACGCAAGTTGAAGGCCTCCTCTCCAAGCTCGCGAGGATCAAGCAGCGGCTCCCTGCCACCTGACTCGATTCCTAGTCAAGTTGCAACTGACGCCAACCAACTTATCAGACGCAATCGGATGGCTCCTCTAAACACCAACCTCAAGCCCTAATTCGGCTAAATCTCACAGCTTATATACCGCATCAGTTAGCTCCACATTCCTCCTAAGACTAACTGCTCCATACTATTCTAAACCACTCATATTATCTTTCCCTGACCTACCTGGTATGTATCTCAACGCATGCATGCAAACAAGCCTCTTCCAACATGTTGGATTTCCAGTGCTGCTTCTGGGCGGTTCACTTAATTCCAGTAATCCAACCAATAACCATCCATCAAAAGGTGTCCCAACACTCCTTACTGCATCCCACATCGACGAATCTAGTAAGCTGGGGATCCATAATTTGCTTCTCATCAAGGCCAGGTCTATTAATCAAAAATGTCACCTCCTGGGCTCGCTTGTTACTATGTCCAAAGCACAGCAGGTCCTAATCACAGAGACTTAGCACTCTGCCAGTTCGACTGGCTCACGCATCCAGAAGCCTGGCTACTCAATATTCTGCAGTGTACGCGATAAGCGACGGGGCGGAGGATGTCTCATCTACGTCAGCGAAGCCTTGCAGGCATCCTCCTTCCACGTTATAACGTTGGCTAACCCGGCAGACTCTATATGGATTCAAGCTGATGGCGAAAACCTTGACCTCCTCATTGGCGGCGTCTACATCCGACCACATATCTCAACAGCTGAAATTAACAAACTGCTCGAGCGCTTCACCGAACGTTCGC